TTGTGGGCCGCGTGCCGTGTTTGCGCAGAGACTCCTTTTGCTGAAAGCCGTGGGGCTGTATGTCACCTAAGCCTTTGGAGATGAGGGTTACCTCTTGTGGTCTGCCAGGGTTCAGGTGCCACCTAAGCCTTTGGAGATGAGGGTTACCTCTTGTGGTCTGCCAGGGTTCAGGTGCCACCTAAACCTTTGGAGATGAGGGTTACCTCTTGTGGTCTGCCAGGGTTCAGGTGCCACCTAAGCCTTTGGAGATGAGGGTTACCTCTTGTGGTCTGCCAGGGTTCAGGTGCCACCTAAGCCTTTGGAGATGAGGGTTACCTCTTGTGGTCTGCCAGGGTTCAGGTGCCACCTAAGCCTTTGGAGATGAGGGTTACCTCTTGTGGTCTGCCAGGGTTCAGAGGTGAGCGGCCGCTGGGACAGGGCCATGTCGTGGGGACAGGGGCAGGAGGCTTCCCGAAGGGGAGGGCTACTGGGGGTCGCGGCCGCTGGCCCGCGCGGGCGCTGAGTGGCAGAGGCAAGAGCTCGGTAACTTTCTTGTAAAGGCGAGGAAGTTGGAAGCGATGTTTTTAGCGTTGTTCGCTGGTCAAAGCCAGGCATTCTGGCCAGGGCGCTTGTCTTGAAACCTCCTGGCACCGCTCTGTGGAATCCCTTCGGTGGTGTCTGTGTTCTCGGTGGTTCTGTCGGAACAAGAGGCAGTCTGTCTCTCTGGCGTGTCTCAAAAGCCACAGAAAACCCTTCTGAGTTTCTGAAATGCATTATAGCATCCAAATGCAAGATTTGGGTCCAGCTTCCCATCTGCTGTGAACTAATGCACTTCTCTCAGCTTCAGGCTGTATCGGCTGCAGTTTGTCCCGCTGCTGTTGTTAATCAGCCTGCAGCTGAGTGCTGGCCACGCTGGGCTCCCAGGACACAGCTTCGTTTGGGGTAGCAGTGGGAGCGTGGGCGGATGGAGGGGTGCCCCCTGCCCTGAGCCGCGCGGGCTGGGCGAGCGCAGCCGCTCGCCAAAGCGCTCTCGGTACGAGTAGCTCTTACCTGGTGGTTTTCGTTAATAGATCTCAAAGTGCATTAAAAACGTGACCGTATCCTGCAGAGGATAAATAGGGGCCCTAAGTAACATGCAGCTTTGGCAGGGTTACCCCACAGGCTCTGCCTCTGTCAGTCCGTGTAATTCCTATGTGTATATGTAATTATTTTCCCCCTTAATTTTTTTGAGCATATCTGAAAATAAAGCAACTTAATTGCAATCTGACTTGAAAATAAAGCTGAAAAATACTCCTTTAGACCAATGGTAATAAAAATACATATGCTCAGTTAAAAGCTTTCTTTTTCTCCCCTTCCCCATCCAGCCTGGGACTGAATGAATCAGCGTAGCTTTAGGGCAGCAGCAGCATACAGCACAGTGAGGGGCAACACGTTCCAAATGTTTGCTGCAATTCCCTCAGTCCCTCTGTTCACTGTAAAGATGAAGTTGCAGCACGGCACAACTCTTCCTCTGCGATGCTTCAGAAGTTCGCGGCATGTTCGCAAAGAATCAAATTCAAATACGACGTAAGAGGCTTTTTTTTTTTTTTTTTTTTTTTTTTTTTTTGCACCGTTATCTCTATGAATGAAGCCAAATGGAAATAAAACGCCCAGTGTTGTCTGCTCCTGAATCGGTGTGCTGTGTGATGGGGGGTGAGCGCATTGCAGAACTGACCCCGTGTGGGCAGGGGTGAGGTTGGAAGGCCTGCGTTATGTCCTTAGTTCTGCTGCAGGCTTCCTTCCTTGTGCCCGTCATCGGAGCGCCCGTTGCATCAGGTCCGTTCTAATGTAATTGAACTAATAACATTTCTGTACTTGAGTGCAATGTTGGGAGCACGCATCTGTTGCTGTTTGGAAGAAAGCTTGTTCCTGTGGTTCTGAGACCTAGAGACGGTCTTAAACAGAAATAACAGGTGGAATTTGCTCTGAAATTCTCTGCTATACAAATGCCAGTTTTGGCCAAACGTATAGCAGTTGTGTATTTAGGGTACAGGCACACTGATGTAAAGATAGAATAAGACCTTGTCCAATATGCTGTCCTGCAAACATAAATATTTTCTCTTTCACATCATCTGCAGAGAATTTTTCAGCAACTATACAGCGAAATGCAAACCCCCTCTCTCTGCTGCTCTGTGAATTGGTCGTTGGGAGGATCCCATATTGCACATTCCCTCTGGAGGCTTCGCTGACGTCGCGGGGAGTGCAGGCTCCAAACCCAGGCACTGGGGTTGAATGTCGGGTAGTTTGAAACTCCCTTTTGTCTCAAGAAAATCACCTGAAATTCAGGACTGTATTTAGAATTTGTTCATGCACAGGCATGTCCTGTGGCTGGTTCCCTTTCTCAGAATCAAATACTCAGAAATAGAGCACTGTCTATTTACAGAAATGCTGTTTCTAGGAGTTTCTGAAACACTCTGGTTTTGTAGGTTACTGACTTAATTAACTAAGCTGGGATTTTTTAATATTAATTTCAGGTTTGTTCACGTTTAATTTTAGCTTCCTATCTGTGTCATGTGCTTGAAGATTGGGAAGTAAATCCGCCTTTATATGGCAATGAAAAACTTTGTAAAGCTGTACTAACGAGGAAGAAAATGAGCATTAATTAAGCTTGTGGCTATGGGATGGGCTGAGGCTCTGGAGTCCTGAAGCAGCAGCTAGATGGGTTGCTTCGTTACAGCCTAGGACAGGGAGCTGTGATGGGAATGGGAATGAGGAGACAATTAAGTCGCTCACCAAGTGCAGAGCCAGCGAGACATTTAATTATCCAGAGGAGCTAGCGCTCTAAAACCTGGAGTTTTCTGTAGGTCTAAATATGCCAGGCAGTTTTCCTGTCAAATTAGACTTGTAAAGAATGTCTTTAGAAATGCAAGAAGGGTTGGGGATGTTGAGGAGACTGGAGAAGAGACCTGCTTTTTAGCTGAGCTCTGTGGAGTGGTGGCAAACCGTTGGCAGGTCTCCTGGGCTGGAGAGGAGGTCTCCATCGTGCTGGATGGGACAGGTGGAAGTACCTTGAGCAGAAAGCCCCGAGCGTAGGTGGTGACCTGATGGCACAGTGGACTTGCCTTGTAAAGCTCGAGTGGTAGAGAAGGGTCCGTGCGGCCCCTGCCATTGCCAGTATCCGTAGATCCTGCGGTCCTTGGAGAAGCAGGTCTTCAGGGATGCTCATGAGCCCTGTTACCCCCGAAAGAGATTAGTGGAGCTCTAAACCGCAGCCCTGTGTATTGCAATGGACTAATTTGTGGCTAATCAATGTAATCCTGTCTTAATTGGACAGGACAGTCACACTCTGCCTTCATTGTGAATTTTTTCCGATGTGGCTTTCAGTTCTAGATAACCCCCTTGCCAACCTTAGCAGAGGAGTTGATTCTCTGAACCGCAGTTCCCTTTTGATTAAGTGCCTTCTGCTCTAGTCTTCGATGCATATTAATGAGTGCTAAGCAGTGGCTCGACTTGAGTAATTTGCAGCTGGGATCTAAAGACCCCTTGGAAGGAAGGCTGAGGGATGTCCTGCTTTGGGAAATAGTGGGATATTATAGGCTCTTTCCTACAGTTTGGCAAACTTTTTCAATTAAATTATGTTTTTATTAGTCACAGGACACAGTCGCTGCTGCCATTGTTGTTTAACAATATTCCCATATTCACTTTAGTTTCAAGAGAAAAGTCACAGAAGAGGAGGGGAGGAGGTAACGGTTAGCTCAGCATTTCTTCCAGGACTGGAAGTCCTTTCCATGGAGACGCTCAGTCCCACACCAAGTTCTGAGTTACACAGCACATGTGTGGCTGCAGGGTGGTGGTGCCGGGGGGGCACCTCTAGTCCGTAACTCCTGGAAGTGCAGTGGTCCCGGGGTGGGCAACGGGCAGTATAGGAGAGGAAAACACTCTCGCTAGCGGTTACTTTTAAGCTCTTAGTTCATGAAAGTAACTACTGTTCTTCTGTTCAGAACTTGGGGAAACTGGTAAGTGCTGCTTCCCCTGGTATAAATGCCCAGACGATGGCCCAAGAATTTTCTGAAGTCCTTCTAGTCCAACCTGTGTTGAAGGGAAGGCAGAGGTTTCCTCGAACAATACGGCATTTCTGGTTTAGGCATCCAGAGGCCTTCTCCAGGAAACTGAAGCAACTTTAATGCTCTCTGTCATCATCATGAACTTGGTAGTTGTCTGACAGTTGTCTTGGCAGGACAGGCTGGCACAAGGGTGATGGTGCCCGTGGATAAGAACAGGACAGATGGGCGAAGGGTACGAGCGAACCCGTGCCGCTGGAGCGATGCCTTTATGTTGCTTTTTTGGCTATGAGCAACACTGGCGTTGAGTTGAGGACTAAAAGCAATCTCCCTTTCATGGTGGCTTTTTGAGGGTGTTCCTAGCAGCATCAGAAAAAAATGCATTAGGCAATTCATCTTCAGCTTTTCACATTCAAAGCACTTGGCAAAGAGCAACAAGTCAGCCCTTGTAATCATCCTGCAAGACTGCTGTGCCAGTTCAGGGGTGGAGAAATGGAAGTAAAGAGGTTAAATGTCTTGCTCAAAGCAGCGAGGAAATGTGTGGTGGAGACATTCAGGAGCCCCACGTATTTCTTAATGAATCATTTATAACTGTGGGTATATTATTAGGCAGATGGCTTGAACTGTGGATTGCTGTAGGAACTCGCCATCTAAATGAATTTTCTTCTTAAACTCTTAAACAGCCGTGTTTTCTTATTTTATTTCATGAGAATATGTTGGCTAAATCAAAGACTGTGTAGGATATACAATATATAAAATTATATAATTCTTTTAGAATTCAAACACACACTAACTCTTTGCTAATAATTCTGACCAAAAGTAATTGATGTGTTTCTCAGGACTAAAGGAAAAGAAAAATAGCAGCTTAAGAGACAAAGTTGGTTTAGTCCAAGATTAAAATGGGAAAAGAAATACTCGGCCATGTTTGAAGGTTAAATTCCTTCCTTTCTACACTCCAACAGAATTGGGGAGGAGACCGCCATGGGGACGTACAGCGCGGTGTCGCGTCTGTCTGGGAACCTGTGGATGGCCTCCCAGTCGGCAGTGTTGGGTGGCACGTGGCTCCCGCTGCACGCAGAAGGGCCAGCACCAGGCACATCGGTCAGCAG